GTCTTGCTGCTGCTGCATCCTTCCCACCTCGTGCTTTGTCTTTTTGGGGTGGGGGTCTCGCCCTGGCACTGATGCCAGGTACCTCCTTGCAGGTTTGACAGCAACGCCTCGGCCAGCTCCTCCAGCGGCGACGGCGACAGCGACCGGGACGAGAAGAAGCCAGCCAAGAAGGCCAAGATTGTCAAAGACCGCAAGCCCCGCAAGAAGCAGCTGGAGGTGAGCAGGAGCTGCTCCTGGTGGGTCATGGAGAGCAGGAGCTGCTCCTGGAGCATGAGCTGCTGTTCCCTACTGGGAACAACGCTGCAGAGTTGCTGGTTGCAGCCCATCACCTCAGCCTCCTGCCACAGTCCCATCTGCTGCCACCACCGCACCAAGCTGTGCCCTGGCTGGGTCACTTGTCCAAGCCCAGCTCCGCTACCTCCTGCAGATGAGTCTCAATGGAATCTCTCCCAAAGGGTGCATTGTGCCTGCACCTGTCCAGGCCTTTGGGTTGTTGGAGAACTTGTCTCCAACAACCCACCCTTTCAGGTGTTGCACACCCTTTCCCAGGGGTGTCCTGACAACCCCTCTCCCCTGATGGTACAGCCCAACGGCTGGTGGGGTGTCGGGGGCGAGCTGAGACCCCCCAGCCCCTTGTTTTGGGGCAGACCCATGTCCCATGGCCTTTAGCAAGTGGTGCTGTTGGAGGCTTCCATGCTTGTCCTCTCCACTTCCTACCTCCTAGAGCAAGAAGGGGAAGGACCCCAACGCTCCCAAGCGGCCGATGTCCGCCTACATGCTCTGGCTGAATGCCAACCGGGAGAAGATCAAGTCAGACCACCCTGGCATCAGCATCACGGACCTGTCCAAGAAGGCCGGGGAGCTCTGGAAAGCCATGTCCAAGGAGAAGAAAGAGGTGGGGGGCAGAGGGAGGTCTGGGCTGGCGTGGGACGCAGTGGGGGTTTGGGGTGGGGATGGTGTTGGGCCCTGGCGGTGTGGAGGGTGGAGGAGGAGCAGAGAAGTCCCTGCTCAGCGTCGCTCTGGCCGCAGGAGTGGGATCGGAAGGCGGAGGATGCCCGGAGGGACTACGAGAAGGCCATGAAGGAGTACAGCGTGGGCAGCAAGTCAGAGAGCTCCAAGGCGTGAGTGGGCTGGGGGGGTGGCAGGGCTTCACCCCACCGAAATGGGGCCATTCCCCCGCCCTCGTGGTGCCTGGGCCTCAGCGGGGGGTGAGGAGCCTCCTGGGCTCCGTGGTGGGCTCTCAGCGGGGTCACGTGTCTCCTCCATCCCACCACCCAGGGAGAGGTCGAAGAAGAAGAAGAAGAAGCAGGAGAAGCAGACAAAGGGGAAGGTGGAGAAGAAAGGTGCCTCCAAATCGCTGTCCTCCAGCAAGTCCTCTGCCAAAAGCACCAATGAGAGCTTCAAGAGCAAGGAGTTTGTCTCCAGCGACGAGAGCTCCTCCGGGGAGAGCAAGAAGGAGGTAGGGCTTGGGGGGCTCAGTGCGACCCTCCTTCATACCCCCGTGTCCCCAAGTCACTGCTCTCACCCCGTCTGTCCCTGCTGGGGGGTGCGGGGAATGGGAGCTGCCACTCTGACATCATCCATCGCCACCCTGATGACATCATCCCCTGCCTTTCTGACATCATCCCTTGCCACCCTGATGACATCATTCCTTGCCATTCTGACCTCATGTCCTATCACCCTGACTTCATCTCCCATTGCCCCAACCTCATACCCCTCTGACCTCATCCCGTGCCCCTCTGACCTCATCCCTGCTGCCCCAATGACCTCATTTCCCATCACTTTGACCTCATCCCTCTTTGCCCTGATGACCTCATCCCCTGCCCCCATGACCTCACCGCCCTGCCCTGCCCTCACCCCCTCCCCTGGTGCCCTCACCGCGCGGTGCTGACCTCATCCCCGCACCCGCAGGACTCGGAGGAGGAGGGGGGGCGCAGCCCGCCCCCCAGCTCGGAGGACTCGGGGTCTGGCTCGGATTAGCTGGGTCCCAGAGGGCTCCCGGACTGTGCTGGGGCTCCGGCCCCCCCGGCCTCCCCCGGCGCCGAGGGGACACCGCAGCGGGGACCCCCGAGCCTGCTGTGCCCGCGGGGGAGCCTGACCAGTGGAGGGTGGGGCCCTGGAGGGCCGTGGCCCCCCCTCAGCCCTGTTCCCCATCAATTTATTTTTTTTAAATACTCGGGTTTGTTTCCTCGTTTCTTTCCTTGTCGGTTTTGTTTATTTTTTGTATTTTGGGTCTGTTCACATGGCAACTCGATTGAATAAAAAAACACCCCCGAGGGCGTGTGTGTGGGTGCAGAGCTGGGGGAGGGGACACAGCCCTCTCCCTGCAGCTGGTGCCCTTGGCCTGGGGCGGGGGCCGGGGCCGAGCCCCCCCTCCCCGGGCTGTGGGGCCGGGGCTGAGCCCCCCCAGCTCCCTCCGGTGCCACGGAGGGATCCGCAGCTCCCCGTGGCCGCGGGGGGGAGGCGG